TGAAAGAAAAGAGGTCTTACCTTTCAAGTTACTATATCAAAGCTTTATAGTTCTTTTTTTATGGGCTGAGACTTTGGTTATGTATTAATCCATTTTACAGATTGCTTTTATTAATGTTAAGATCTAAGTCCTTGCTCAAAGAATTGGGAGTTGCACTTGAGAAGCAAAAGTCAAGATTTCTTTCACAATTTGCACTGAGGTTTCTGTACTTCTTGTAATGCTAGCATTGTGTATATGTGCATGAATAAGTAAATTATGAGAATGAATTTTGTAATGTTGCATACACACCATTAGTGGCATTACTTCTAATTTGTTGGCTTTTGGCCCTTTTCCAGTGTTGACCACTTTTTTGAGTGCTTTGATGGAATGAGAAGTTTTCAAACAGCATCTGGAAGCAGTGGAATTTGGGATTGGACATGTTCTGTTTTCAGTGCAATAACGGCTGCATCCAGCCTCGCATCTGGATCTCTGCATTTACCTTCTGGTACATGTACTATTTCCTTATTATTTTTTTCATCCTAAAAACCTATCCAATTTCTTATAGTAGAGAGAGTCAAAAGATGCAAGAATCATGTTCATCCATATCTATGTTGCTGTCTTTTCTAATAGCTTTCTGAATTGAATTCCTGTTGATGATTGTAACTTGTAACTATAGAATTTAACTGAAATAGGATATGAACATCTATTTAAGAGTTTCCTGTTACTTGTTTTTGGATAATTAATTCAATTGCTCTTGTGACTATTCTTACTTTTATTTTTCATTTGTTTTTGTGCAGAACAGCAGCATGTTGAAACTAATTTGAAAGCAACCTTTGCTAGAATTTCTATTATATTTTCCCTTCATGATGAAGATTGGAATCATATGAATGATCAGAATGGTCAGATTCATGTTGGCTCGAATGTTCATTGTCTGGAAGCCAAATGCAGTGAATTTTTTCTTGCTATGCAGGTAATAAGGGCTGGGGTTCCTTTCCCTTCATCTTTTCCTATTTTAAAGATTATTTTAAGCAAATCCTTCTCTCTGCAATTTTCAACAGGTATGTCCTCAAGAACTGAGATTGGGAGGAACAATGAAGCATATGGAAGTTGCTGATTACCTATGCCGGCAAAATAATGTGGAGAGTTGTACTGATTGTAATGGCAGTCAAACTCTTTTGATTAAAAGTCTTCAAGCTGAAGTTCAAAGCACTCTCCCTTCTTTTTCCATGTATGCAGATGATACCGTATTGGATGAATTGTGTGGGTTATTTGCTCATTCTCCATTCATGAAAAGGGGTGATGTTGTCAAAATTGTGTTGTTTAGAACTTTTGGTGCAACTCCTTGCCAATTTACTGTGAACTCAAGTTCCTCAGATGACAGTTTTTTGGTGCCAACATCATTTTCATTGAAACTACCCCCTCTGATTTTCTGGTTGAACTTCTGTTCAATAAATATGTTGTTGGATCTGTCAAAGGATGTTGGAAAATCAATTGAAATGAATAATGGAGAGAAAACAGTTTCATGTGATGCAAGCAATGACAAGTGTGAATCATCTAATGGGCATGTGAAAAGAGCTTCTGGCCCCTCTGGTATTTCAACTTTATCATCAACGAAAACTGTACAGGGTGATGTATCTATTCCAAATGCAAGAATAATTCTATGTTTCCCTTTCAAGAGTGGTGGGGATGATGGAGGATATTCTTTGTGGGATCAGTTTATTGTCCTTGATATTTCTTCGCCATCAAATTCAGATGGTGGAATAATCCAAGTTGCAATACCACCTTTAGATGGAAGTTTGGAGAAACGGGTTTCTTCAATGGCCAGTGGTTCTTTGCACTTGAATATTGGTAATCTTGATATTTACTTGGTTGCTCAATCTAGTGAAGATGTGGGAACTGATTCTTGTGGTATGCAGCAGTATAATTTTTCTGCTCAGAATATTTTGTCTGTCAGCAACAGGACGGGGTGTTTTTCTGTAATTAGTCTGCTTTGGCAGGAAGGTCCTGTGACTGGTCCGTGGATAGCAGAGAGAGCCAAGCTCTTAGCTACTCAGGAGAAGACAAGGAGCGGAAATAAATGCATGGAGAAGGGTTATGAGTTTGCTACAGTAACTTTGTTGAGAGATCTGGAAGATTTAAATTCCCAAATACAAGAGGAGATAATTCTGAGCTCTTCATTTCTTGTGCACATTCATCTGTTTCCAGTGAAAGTGAATCTAGGCATTTCTCAATATAGTGGGTTACATTGCCTATTAAACCAGATGATCACTGAGTTCTCATGCTTGACTCACAGTGCAATTGATGTCAAGGAAGAACCTTCAACGTCTCAAACATCAATTCTACTGGAGTGTGAGTCTGTAGAAATTTTAATCAGACCTGATACTGTGGAAAATGTGAAATGTTCAATGCAGAGTGAACTTCCAGGATCGTGGAGTTGTCTAAAACTGAAAGTTCAGAAATTTGTTTTGCATTCTGTCTCAAATATTGGAGGTATTAGTGGTGCCAGTTTTCTTTGGATAGCCCATGGTGAAGGCACACTGTCAGGTTCTGTTACTGAAGTTCCAGATCAGGAGTTTCTGCTTATCTCATGTACCAAATCTACAATGAAACGTGGTGATGGAGGAGGTTCAAATGTGTTATCATCTAGGCTAGCTGGTTCTGATATAGTACACCTATGGGATCCAGAGAGATTCCATGGATTTACATCTATAAGTGTGAGATGCAGCACAATCATTGCGGTAGGTGGTCGTTTGGATTGGCTGGAATCAATAACCTCATTTTTTAGTCTGCCTTCTCAGGAGCCAGAGCAGGCTGTTAACAGTGTTTTACATAAGGAGGATTTGGATGTTCCTTGTGGCACTTCTTTTGTCCTTAGTTTGGTTGATATTGCTTTGAGTTATGAGCCGCAGTTTAGGAATTCGACCGTCTGTGTTGAAGTTCTTGTTTCGGAGTCTGGATCTTCAGATGCCAAAGAAGGGATGGTTGAGCCTCACGTAGCCTGCCTGTTAGCTGCATCTTCCCTAAATCTTTCAAATACCTTTGCTGCAGATTTTAGGGGCAATGAATATAAAATTAGAGTTCAAGATCTGGGTCTGCTACTTAGTGCAGTCTCAGAGCATGAAAAGCTTATTGGTAGATATGATGTAGAGCATCTTCATGAGACTGGCTATGTTAAAGTTGCACATGAGGCACTTGTGGAAGTGGTGTTGAAAACTAACTCTGAGAATGGCCCTCAGTGGGAGTTGGAATGTTCTAAGTCTCAAATTTATGTGGAAACTTGCCATGATACCACCAATGGTCTGGCTTGCTTGTCTGCTCAACTGCAAAAATTATTTGCACCTGATGTGGAGGAATCAGTTGTGCATTTACAGACTCGGTGGAATAATGTTCAGCAGGCACAACAGAGGAATATTTTCATTGACCAAAGTGGGATCTCCAATTGTGATTATGCTCCATCAACTTCACAAATATATTCTGCTAACATGGAAACAGAGAGCAATAGTGGAGGGGTTGGTTTGATGGATGAGATATCTGAAGATGCTTTCCACTTAAATGGGAGTCATACTTGCCAATTTGAGTCATCTCCGTCACGGTCCCATTCTTCTATTGATGAAAGTGTTAATGAAGAAACCTGTAGCTTAAGTTTTGATGATGCTGAGATTTTGTCATGGGATTTATCTGTTAATGAAGTGAATCCAGAAAGTGGAAATGGTGGATGGTATGGGGATGCTCCATTAAGAATTGTAGAAAACCACATTTCAGAAGCAAGTGAGAAAGCTAGTTTGAACCAAATTTTGGATGGCAAGCTTTCATCTGGTGACTATACGATAATTGATGCTATTGTAAAAGTCATTGGTTGTGTACGTCTGAAGAATATTAATGTTAGGTGGAGAATGTATGCAGGCTCTGACTGGCATGAATCTATAAAGAATGGTGAGTGCTCCACAAATATGCATGGAAGGGACAGAACTGTGTTTCTAGAGTTTGCGTTATCTGGGGTGGAATGTCAATATGACGTCTTCCCAGCTGGTGTTGTATCTGTGTCAAAGCTTTCTCTTTCAGTCCAGGATTTGCACCTTTATGACAAGAGCTCAGCTGCACCCTGGAAACGAGTAATGTTCAAATTACTTTCACAATTCGTTATCCTTATCTTTCTTGTATTAACAGAGTTTTGAATATCTTTTCCTTGTTTAATTGGTAGGTGTTAGGTTGTTATAATTCAAAAGATCATCCTAGAGAATCGTCTTCAAAAGCGTTCAGGCTGGAGTTAGAAGCTGTTAGACCAGATCCATTAATACCTCTTGAGGAGTACAGGCAAGTCTGCTGTTCTGTTTTATAAATTATATTTTATAATTGAAGTTGACGTAAAGTCTCCTTTATTTCTTCTAGCTCTTTTAATAGAAATTTTATTAGTTTTGCTTAGCACGGAAGAGGTTTGAACCTTTGACCTTAACCCCAGAATTGAAGCTTGAGTTGATAAGTTTGATTCAAGGATTTCAAAATGTTATTTTATTGGAAAATTTTCATTCATGTGTAATAATTCATATAATGATAAATGAATTTTGAATTCTTTGTACAAACTTTTAAGGGCAAGTTTAATTGTTTTAGCTTTTTTCTCAATTTTGTTTTCTCAGGTTATGCATTGCTTTCCTTCCTATGCTGCTACAACTTCATCAAAGCCAACTTGATTTTCTAATAAGCTTTTTTGGAGAGAAAATCCTATCAACTGAACAGTCACTGGATTCTCTTCCAGAGCCTAGTTTGTCAGTGAGGAGTAATAATCTTGCAGGCCATACCATTGTGGAAGAAGCATTGCTTCCTTATTTCCAGGCAAGTCTATACTCTGTTTGATTTCATCAACTTGTCAGCTAGCATATTTATGCTTCAATTTACCTTTATTCTAGAATCTGGAATTGTGAGCCATTTATCATTGTGTGTTATTCTTTTTTTGGCCAACATTATGTGCTATTCTTGATTGGTGTAGAGACCTGGAGAAATTGAAAATAATTATGATGTGGTACCTGGTTATTGTAGAACGAATGGCAACACAATATTCAATTTTCTGCCTTTTCTTTATGTTGCACAACCCATGCTTTTCTCCTTATCTCTGGTGTGGTTTTCCAATGAAAGAAAATGCATGATTGAACTTTCTTCGCATAGATCTAAGATATCTCCTGCAAATTTTCTGTTGTTTCTTTATGGTTTACCTTTCCTTGGTGGCATGGTTGGTGGTGGTATGGGTTTTGAATTTTTTTTTTTTTGTCAGATATATGTACTGAATAATTCTTTTTTTAATTCAGAAAATTGATATATGGCCTATCCTGATTCGAGTTGATTATAGCCCCCACCGTGTTGATATAGGAGCATTGAAAGTTGGGAGATATGCTGAACTAATGAACATTTTCCCCTGGAAGGTAAACATAACACCGACCTCCACTCATGTTAATTAGAAAACAAAAATATATAGTGAGATTGGAGAGTGTTTCCTATTGCTTCCATCATATGGTAAATTAAACTTTGATGCAGGGAATTGAGCTAGAACTCAAACATGTTCATGCCATTGGTATCTATGGTTGGGGTGGTGTAGGTGAAACTATTATAGGGGAGTGGTTGGAGGATGTTTTTCAAAATCAGGTATTATTGACAACTCCATGCCCGTTGCTGTATTGCTGTACTAAAATGCTGTCTGTCTTCATGCACATATTATATTCATAAACATATGGCTTCCTTTATAATGTAGATTCATAAAGTTTTGCAAGGCTTTCCTGCCATTCGATCATTTGTTTCTGTTGCTGATGGTGCTAAGAAGCTGGTTTCTTTGCCACTTGAGAGCTATAGGAAGGATCAGAGGGTACTCAAGGGAATCCAAAGGGGTAAGTTGAAATTAAGCAGATTTGTTTCTCATTTAATGAAATTCAATTTCCTTTTGAGTTTTGATAGTGAGGTGAATATATCTGTAGTTCTTTGACATTAGTTTTACTTGTAATTATGACGCTGAAAGAAACATGTAACAGTTTACACATATTTTAGGCAAACCTCCAAAATGCACCCTGTACTTCTAAAATCGAACAAATAGCCCAAAGTTTGACAGAGAATGTTACTCTCCGTCACCTCCTTGCTGACATGGCACATTTATAATGAGCTAGTGGCTGGTGCCGTGTCACTTGTATGAATAAGTAATAATAATCATTGTTCAATAATAAAGAATAATTCAAGGTTGAAAAATAATAAATTAATATTAATAAAACTAAAATGAATTTTTTTTTTTTTTTTTAAATGCACTTCATCTTCTTCCTCTCTCCTCCTCATTCCTTCTCTTTTTCCCTCTATCAAACCTGCTGATCTCATGGTACCACGGAAGGAATAATTTTTAAAAAGAGTCTTACCTAGGAGAAGGAATATGGGTTTCATATTACAGAGAGCCCAAGAGCCCACCCCAGATTTGGGGTTCGTATTAGGGAATTTTGATTCTTGAATACTGATAAGCAAATGAAATAAGTTTTTGACTTGAATTTGCAAGATCTTAATGCTAATGGGAAGTTATCAAAAACTTGTTTATTTTTTTTTATGATTTGGGTCTGTGAAATTTTGATTTGGGCTGCATTTGTTCATGGGTATGGGAGGTTAAAAAGCTTAAGCATTTTTTTGTGCTGTCAAGTAACTCTTCATTCATGATAAAATCAAGAAATACAACTCACAAACCCATACTCATGTAAAACTATGTTCCCGAATCTGCATCAAGCCTGTTAACAATGTCTGCATCTAACTCCAACTGTGAAAAAAAATAAATAAATAAAAATAAGGTTTAAGCTTGGAAATAGAGATTTTGTGAACTAATGGGAATGGAGGAAGAAAATGAAGGAAAGATAGGTTTTATAAATTTAAAATGAATTAAGGGTAATTCAGAAAGTAAAATAGGTTTTTTGTTCAGTTATTTTACTTGCCATGTCATTAAAAAAATGCCTCAACTGCATAAGTATGCCAGCTTATTAAAAATGAGCCATGTTGGGAAGAAGTGAACTTGCATGTGCTTTTATGTGTTCTTCTCAGCCAGATTTTGGAGTTTTTGCTGGTTTGTTAAGTACAAGGTGCATTTTGCATGAAAAAACTCTTTAGGGGTGCTATCTGCAGATGAAAAAAAAGAACAGGGTGCATTTGAGGGGTTAGGCCTATAATTCAAATTGATCTATGCTATATAAATGTTGTTTCTGATCTGAGGAGGTAACCTCTTGTTCTTTTGACTATTGATTGTCCAGTATGTAAGAGGATTCTGTACCTGGTCTGTGGTGATGTTTTACATTATTGAGTCATGTTGTGTGATATCAATGTTTAGACGTATTTTTGTATGAGTTGATATGAAGATAGAGGTCAAATTTTAAAATATAAAATGTGCTCCATTAACTCATGTATCCTGACCAGTCTTCAAGCTTTACGATTTCAACTAATTTTAAACGTTCTACTAGTTTCAAGTCATCTAGTTAGGATAGTTTTTTGGTGATCCAAACCTGTTAAAACCACACAGAGACATATTACTGATATGAGCAGCAGCCTTTTGTATATTGTATGAGGGTTTGGCATGAAAATGACATGATTAGTAATTGTATCTATTTTGTTAATGGAATAATGTTCAGAATAAATTTATCTAAGATAAAATTATACTTATTTATTAGTTGTTGTGTTGTCATTTTCACTAGGTTTGACCATTTTGCATATGCACACGTGTATGGTCCCCCCAATTGAGGTCTGACCTTGTTAAAGGTCCTTTGATTCAAAATCTCTTTTTTTTTTTTTTTCCCTCACATGAAGTGGCTGCTTTTGACCCTGTAGTCCAACCACTGCCTGGCCTCCCAAGCCTTTTTTCCTCTTCCTTGCTATTCAGTCTTTCTCGATGTAACAGATCTTTCCCTTATCAATGGCTAATAAGTCTGTTTAGTTCCATTCTTGAGTTGGACTTTGAATTATGATCAATATCTTAATAAAGTTCATGAAAGTAGAGTCCTTTTTTGGTCATCTAGATAATGCTACTAGGGTACCACCACCCCCCTCCC